ACACCCGTGTATCCTCTGCAATAAGTTTTGCCGCCGTGTCGGCTTTTTGTTTTATTTTGTTCATTAATAAACACGTTTTTAGTCAAACCTCTAAGTTCCCATTGTTTACATGCATTTCCAACCCTACACCGACCGTGACGACTACTTTAAGATGATTTTCATCTTTTAGGATAGATTGAATTCCTTTAAAATATAATTTTACGTTCACCGTTATGATTAAGGCTACCTTGAAAAAAAAAAGTCACCATTTGAAAAAAATCAGCTTTACAAAAAAATCACATTTAGGTGTTTCAGCTCAGTAATGAAGTAACAATAAGCATTTATGATGGTCAAATAAATTTAATTTAAACAGTTTTATTTTGTTAAAACATATACTAAACGTCATTTTAATTGGTGCCCAGACATTTGACTTAAAATGTATGTAACGTTGTATTAAAAGTGAATATTTTGTTGATGTCATTAATGTCAGAGTTGTTTTAGACACTCATTGAAATGTACTTGTCCCTCTCTTTTTGCATCTCTCTGACTCCAACAGCAGCACAGCTTTATATGCTGGAGTTCGGAATATAAAAAAGGTAATGCTAACTTTAAGTCATGCTAAATGCTTGAATTTTAAATATTCAACTCAGTCTCTTAGGAATGAACTGTACACTTCCTTGTTAAAAACAGGTCCACTACTAAATAGGCATTTAAGTGAGCTGATTTGTACTGCTCGATGTTCTCTTAGTATTTTCTTCTGATTTTTTTTTATTATTTTTGTTTTATTGTTGTCTTTATCTCTGCTTTTGACTCATTTTATTATTGTTGTTGTTGCAGCATTTTGGGTAAAACGTATTGGTTTTAAAAAAGCTTTTTAAATAAATTGATTGGACTGCTACTACTTAAAATTATGACTTCAGGTAGTCCATATTTCACCTCCCAGTGAAATATGACTTTGAAACATAATCCTAGTGAAATGCAACATAAAAAAAATGGAACTACAGGTACAGTATATGGCATGGTTACTTTGACAACTGCATTTTTAATAACTATATATATATATATAAATATATATATATATGTGTGTGTATATATATATATATATGTATATATGTAT